CTTCTGTTCACCCTCCACGCGCAGAGCCCAACATTCGCATCCCTATAGAAGAACGGACCGCACAGATGCACGGTACACGCAGACTTTTGTTGAGATAGAAATATCGCGTCGGCTCCATAAGCCCTTCCGAAGGCTGGAGAACACTCTCGAGTCTGACGAATAAGCAGTCGCGGACGCAGCAGCGGCTTTATAAGCCAAAAGCCTATAAAGTGTCGCGAAGCCTGACGACGGCGCTGTGACATGGCGAGCGTGAACCGCCATTAAATAAGTTCGCTTGGCACCGCTGCCTTGCGTTTAGGCTATTGAGCCAAAGCGCTAGAGGAGACAACCTCGAACACAATCCGCGCGGCTGTTGGGGACCCGCTCGTACCCAAAATTCCCAAGTCACTTCAATGAATTTCATGTCCTTATAAATTCAAGTATATTTTACAGAAAACATATAGGAAAATAAATGAATGTGCTTTCACCGATCTAGTAGAGGAACAATTAAGTTCCGCTTCATATAGGAAAATATTATTTCCAAATTTTGTATATGTAAAAACGGTAGCTTTCGGTTTCTCATTATGACATGTTTGACGATCGTGAAATGTTCATTCACAATGCATCGTATGCTTCAATTTATTAATGATGCCTGTAACGATATGATCCCTATCGCTTGCAGAACATTATAAGATCTATGTGGCGCCTTCCTCATACCACTTTCACATGTACAACATTTGGGAAGGACATATTTTTTTTCCGAACGAGTAAACAACACAACAAGCGCGTCCACAAGCTTAGCCGCAATAGCATTTACGTAAACGTTGGAATTTGATTAATTGCAAGTACACTTAAATAGTCAGGATAGAAGTTCAAAGTATTGCGTTCTTCTAGCGGACGGCAAGTGTTACCTTGCTCCTTGTCTCGAATGACAGTTATTTTATGAGCCACTGAAAAAACATGGACAACGTACTCTAAGGCCGCAATTAATCGCTTGCCATTGTTCAGTCCGGGTCTAAAGGCTTCTGCAAACTTGTCAGCCTCGCGAAGCGCGTTCAACTGCAAAGGAACAAATAAAGTAATTTTTTTCTACTGTAGCTCCGAAGGCACAAGGATGAATGCGGTCTTAAGAACACACTTATTTCTTTATAAAAAGCGTCCTTGGAATAAAAGTGGAATACACGCTCTCAAAAACTGCGCCGTGGATAAGGACCTCCGAATATTCCCTCTACTAGCATAAATGAAAGGTAGTAGCGACTTGGTAGTGTGCCTCACAAAACGAAACTTAGGCAAACCCGTCCTTTTTAAAATTGTGCATTTCTGTAGAGATTTATAGTACGGCCGCCAGAGGGAAGGTATTAATAATAATAATAATAATAATAATAATAAAAAACGACTTGCAAATCTTCAGTAGGTCAAACTGCAGCGATTTTCAGGCAGCCTTCAAAAACTATAAACTGCAGAACTAGCATTTTCTATAAGGACCCTCCGGCCGGTAACGAACCTTTGAGTAGCTACCTCAAAGGCACCAGTATGACTGGAGAGAGGGCAGTAGTAGTAAGTTCACTTAATTGATGCTTTGCAATATAAAAGAGAATTCTGTCGGGTCACCCTAACTGCCGCGGACTGTCTCCCTCGAGATTACAACGATACAACAAGCAAGTGCAAGACTTTTGAGACGAAAGGGACCAACAACACCCACTTTTCAATATTCCCCAGCGACCACTGTTCCGTACTGACAAGCTTGAGCAAGCACGGTTTGCATAGTCTTCACGTGATGGTTGTGAATTTACGACTCCGTAGACATCCGAAAATATGGATAAAGGCGGGGCAACATGTATGAGTTTGGCGATAACCTTCAAATGCAATTTTTTAAAGCTCAAACAACCAATAATTTTGTATTCTCTTGGGGCTCACACCGAGTAGTATAAATTGATTAAACATTAGCTTGGTTATGAGTTGAGAATAGTAGGGCGCACTAAACTGCGAGCGACGATGTTCACCGTATGCCCACCAGAATGACACAATTACCATATTACAGGTGGCCTACATATCCGACTCCGACTGAAGAAGGAAATAAAGAAAAGGTTTCCAATAGCTTTAGATGGGGCAGTGGTGGACACGGAGGTTAGCGGACTTAAACGAAAACAGTTAAACCAACCTTTTCATCCTTAAATACTTTTATAGTGGCTTCCAGTCGATCATTTTCCAGGACCAGACGATCACGTTCAGCCTTGAGATCTTCGATAATCTGGGTGTCGCGCTTGTTGAATTTGCCGTCCATCTCCTGTATAAACTGCAGCTAAAACAAACAAACTAAGAAACAAGCTTAACAGTTACAGAATGAGGGATTCGGTAGATTTGAAAGAAATGTTTGACCCAGTTATGAACTATTCGGCGGCCACAGTAGGACAGTAACCGACGACAGCAAGAGGAAATCTGTAGTGCAGCCAACGCTTTAGTAACCGTAGTTAGGAGGCGCATCGCTCGTGCTAAGTGACAACAAGCCGGCACCGGTAAGAAAACAATACAACCAAGTGTGTGAGAGAGCAAAACAAAGTGAGTTTGAATTACCATCCGTTGCCGGGACTCTGAACGGGCCGAGGTGAGATCTTGGCGCAGTTGGCCAATTTTGGCCTTCTGCTTTGCAACCAACTTTTCGGCACGCACGCGACGATCCTCCAGCTGAAAGAGGGAGAAGATCGATTTACAAAATCACAGAAACGGTTTTGCTTCTTCGACCTTTTAACTACATCGCTGGTGAGAGGAGTTGTTAGTTTCACTTGAACCGCGTCGAATATAAACTGCATGCAAATGAATACTACAGAAGGGTTAAATAGGTTTCCAAAAGGAAATGAAGAGGGAAACAGACGACTATGGGTTGCTTACAACGATGGCTAGGCAGAGGCATCCAGAAGAGCATGCCAGTTGCCGAAAAGAGTGTGCAACACCGCGTTTTGAGTGACAACGTGGAGACAAATTCGAGCCTCGAGAAAACAGTCCCGCTTGCCTTCCCACAAAATAACATAAGTCCACGCACTTCCAGCATAAATACCATGACCAAACCGTCCAAGGCTGAGGGAAATTGAATGTAGTGATTGAGTATGGGTGGCGAACCATCAGGCTATAATGACGAGGCAACCCGATGAACTGCCTGGCAAGCGAATATCGCGACGAGTACCAGCATCCGCGATTAACGTTGGGCCGCTGGGTACACGGGGAAGGAGGGGGAGGGAGCGCGGGTCAAACAGTAGGCATGAGGCGGCCTTGCAACTGGGCGTCTCTGGGCGCATTTATCTGTCCTCACTTTACCCTTGCTAGCGTGTTAGTGTTAAACCAGAGTCAGACGAACGAGTTTCTTG